TAAGCGACATTATGCCCACAAAATTCTAAATGTACGTTGGCAATAATAAGCGCCAGGCATTATGGATAAAAAGTCATTTTCAGAGGTAACGCAGTTTCATAACGCCAGAGAGGCCTCTGAGTAGAAAAGTGGTGGTTACAAAAAGCTTGGTCTGCTAAACTAAGTTATTACATTGAGAAGCGGAAAATGACAGAAGTTAACGACCAACACAACCTTTGTGTGCATATCACCTTTATCACCTGTAACACCGTTGATCGTAGAGTGACTCGAGAGGACGCCAGTCAATCTATTTTTCCATGTCGCGTGCAAAAGTAATCTAATAGGTTTTGCTCGCTCTAGAAAATCGTTGAACATACATCTTCCTTTTAGGATTTTCGTGACTTTGACCATTGGGTCGTTGGTCTTACTGCAGAACATTTGACATTCAGAGATATCCAATCACTAACGGCTCTTGCCCATCGGCTGTCGTTTATACGCACCACGTGTGCGATCCACCTTATCTTTGATAGCTTAGTATATAGAACGGCATCGTTGATTTTTCATCGCCGCCGCAGGTCGTAGCTTCGAATCTTCTTCGTCACTTGTATGACACTAGATACTTTGTGTGAACATACGCCAAATTGTAAAAGCTTCATAGACGTTGTTTGCAACAGCCGCAGTGTGGTATTATAGGTTGTTCTTCACTCTTGAACTCTTCGATAATCGAAATATTCGACAGCATTTTCGGGAAAACATTTTCAACCTAGTACTCCCCGGCATCGTATTTCGTGGCAGGCCCAATCGAATACAAGCAATTTTTCGTCGGTTGCGACCTTTCTGGCCTTTGGCAATGAAGAACTTCCTCTCAGTAACCACAAAGTTTGAAGCGCTTTGTACACTGTAGACGAGACCTTGCCCTATCATTTCTAGCATGAATGAGTGCATAATATCTTTAACTACGTGTTACTATGGTCCGCATTGTAAATGGGCTGCCCTCGGCACTTGAAAGTATTTTGCGATTTCTGTTGAGTCTATTTCATAATTTCATTTCCGCACATTCTATTCAGCAACCATTAACATAAATATAATCAAACAATAAGTTGTTGGCTTAATCACCAGTGAATGAAAATTTCTGGGAATGAAATTTTTTGGGAAAAAATTTTTCTGTGAGTCATCAGGTGTGGAAAGCGGTTTTCCCGATCTCACACCTCCCGTTTTGGTTTGCTTTCGGCTAGATATAGAATGAATATACACGGTGAAGTGGAAGAACCGTGAAACACGCTAAATTGAATATAGACACTATTAAACTGTCTAAAAATAAAAAATAAAGGATATAGCTCTCGGCGTTGATCAATCCTTGAGGGATGCGCCATGCATTCGACTTCATTAAGTATCTTTGGAGGTGATTGAATGCATATCTGGCCTTTACAGTGACTCGCGGTGGCCTACCAATGTATCGAGCCAGTGCTGCTATCCTCCTAGACAGATCTGGTACCAATTTGCCGACCTCGGAGGGATAGAAGGTTTTGTGAGCCATGAGCACGGGGAACAATTCCATGTGTGTTGCAAGGCGCTTCCGACCACCACGCCACACGCGCCCTTAAATGAATTGTCCATAAAAAAGGAAATCGGTTAACCCATTACTTCATGTTATTTCAAACGCAACGTGGATGAGTTGAAATTTAAACTCAAGTACTTATGATCAATATCGTGATCAATGATTTCGATTCTCTTCACCAACGTCCGTTTGCCTCAAATTCACTTCGCCGCAGACTCATGAGTTTCTTGTTTAAATAAACACGATAATGTTCATTAAGAGATGAAATTAGAGAATGAAATGTGATTTTACGTCCAGCGTAACCGACAAGATAAACGTTAATGACTTGTACTCTTACGACTTCCATATTTAGATTTGATGCTTTGCGTCTCCTACCAACGGTTTACCGCCTCATCGTGGCTGGGAGGTGTCCCTGGGTGTCCGACTGCGATGTACAGCGAAGGAATTCGTCTCTCCGGCGCGGTCTCCCAACCTGAAAAGGAGTCATCAAAGTCGTATGGTGGCAAATCTCCCTGTGATCCACAAGGTCTGCGTCTGCCCGCGGTGGTGAAGACCTGGAGCAGACTTTGGCCAGGTTGACCGCCTTCCATGCAAATGGGTAAACATCTACTGATAGTATCCGTCTATCACAGACAAGGATTCACTCGCAGTGTCAAACGTAGAGAAGAACACAAAATCTACATATTTCTGCGCTTCCATCTCCTAGATTTATTTGATTGCCTGATAGTAAATTATTGCTTCTTCGTACATGAATTACGCAAAAATATACGCGTATTTTTGCCACCATCCTCAAAGAATCCTTGAGCTAACCTTTGAGCAAAAGAGTGCCAAAGGATATGAACATGAATAGTCCTTTACCGTACTGGCACAGCATTTCTCCTTTTTTGGAACGTACATAATCATGCAAAGTTATCATTCTATATCTTGCACGCAACGAGTCATGAATTTTTCATCTTTTCCAAGATACTTTACATAAAAGGATCTAGCCGCTTACTGTTTTTTCTCATTGAACGAGCAAAAACATTTTAAGAGCGGATCATGTTTCCGAGCCATCGCCTTCCTTAGAATCGCAGTGACTCGACATGGATGAATGAATATCGCTATTTGACTTTTACTGATATATTTATATGTTTGCATGCTTTAAAACAATCTTGCATTCGCTATCCAATTAAACAAGGCGAACCTCATTCATGCCGAGATTGAAAGAAAGTCTTTGCCTTGAAAACTGGTGTCTTTCATTTGCCTTCTCGCTTAAAAAGAACAGTGCTTGAGATAAGACCGCGATTATTGAAATTTTTATCTACAACACAAACCCGATGAAGCTGCGAATGGTAAAGATATGCTCATTATCACTGGAGATCAGCGGTGACATGGAGATCTGAAGGTGGAAGATCTTGAAATGAAAACAAGAAAAATATGAGGAACAAAAATACTTGCTACGAAGTAACAGGATCCAAAATATAAAAACTATGGCACGTTTATACACATGCGAAGGTTTGCTGGGTGATATTAGTCAAAACTGCAGAAAACAAACAAACAAACAATGTCGCTGACAAAGACTAAGGCGTGTGATTTATGCCTGATAGTAAAGCTTAAGCTCCGGCTACATCGCCATTCACGGCTAGCAATAACTGAAAACAAGTGTTTAGCGGTTATGAGATGCTTCTGGGACATTCGTCTTCGAAGTCGGACAACCGTTCATCAATCGACTGTTCACCTTCCGTTTCCATTCGTCCATGTAGCCGCACTTCATGCCGTCAACCTAGAGAAACCATCGATTGATAATAGTCATCGTGTAAAGAGTACATCTTTTTTCTTCATCAATTCAGCAAATAGATAGCGCTATATTGTTCTATGTAGGAATTTCCTCATTTTTGAAGATATGATAAAAAGGTCTAGTTAACTGAAGGCTTCTTTCTTTTTCTTCTTCTTCTCTAAGAAATCCAACAAATTCCGTGAACGAAAACTTGGTAGGAAATTTCAGCACTCATACTTAGATTGTAAAATGCGCGACAACGCATTCAGGATTACGATATACCTTTTTGGATCAAAGTATCAGTTAAAGCATAAGAAACCCCGCTTTCTTTTTTCAATTTTTACCATTAATATGTAAGTCCTCCCAACGATTTACCGCTTCATCGTAGCTGGGAGGTGTTCCTGGGTGTCTTACTGCGATGTACAGCGGACGGATTCGTCACCCCGGCAGGGTCTCCCAAGCTGAGAAGTAGTCCCGAGTTTCCATCAGGAAGCCTAGCTGAGAGTAAACCAATTCGAAGATCCACTACCGTCTTGGTATCAAAGTCGCATTGTGGTAAACCTCCCTCTGATCCACAAGGTTTGCAACTACCTGTCGCGGTGACGTCCTGGGGCAGACTTTGACCAGGCTGTCTTCGGGATTCCAGGAAACCACAATGGCTTAATCAGCAAATCTCCGAAAAGTAGAAATTATGTAACCAGACTATTCATCGTGGTTCGACTGCTCCTCTGACCATCCAAACTGGAGATCTCTCTAGGATCGGCTATTGGCGTCAGAGTGCCTGGAAAGTTCTCTAAGATCCACAAGAAGTATTCGTGCCGCATACAGATTATTATAACCGTCGTTGTAGTTATAAATATGGTAATCATAATAAAGACAAGAAATAAATGAATAAGTGAAGAGTTGACCACAGAACTCTCGCTGCGAATTTGACCTATATGGTTTTTCTATATTATGGATCAATAGACAACCATACGAATCGTCTCTACAAAGCCGTCCAACCAGCAGCAACTTTTCTTTTGGATAAAAGGAAGGGGAAAGATGGAACTTCTTAGGAGCCTTCTATCTTCTAATTCAGACGCTCAAAAAGTATCGGAGTAACGGAGTTTACTACTGAATGATGATTTGCTTTAAATCCTTAGATATCATTTAAGCAACACCAACAACAAGGCAATATTTGCTATTTTTCTCGATTGTGAAGAGTGAAATAAATGAAAACAGGAAAAAGGTCGATGTCCACAGTTTTTTTCTTCTCGATGTGGTGCCGCAGTAGTCGAACCGAGTTGAATCGTCTTCACTGGAGCGAACGCTTAAATAAGGAAAGTATAAGGGAACGTTGCTGGTTTACATTGCCTTATTTGAGTAAAACTCCACTGAAAGAGATTTGATTCAATGCGAGGGCGAAGACACCTCATTGAGAAAAAGAATGACTGTAGACATCGACTCTAGTCAGGCTCTAAAGAAGACAAAGACGTTGAGATGTTAGGCCAATAAATACTTGATAGCTCTGTTAGCTTATCAATGAAACAATGTATATGGACTGTACATTTATACCGTGGTTAAATTAAAGTTTGTTTAGAATGATATTTATGCAGAAACTTCTCCATAACCAGCCTCTAATAGAATGTCCGGGATTTCTCCTAGCTCAGACTTTCACATTGTTCATTTTGTCTTTGCAGGTTCTTAGCTTTGATCTAACCTTGTGGCTTAAGGCTTCATATTTCCCAAAGACATTCCACCTACCACATAACTTATAAGCATAATCCATGCTTTAGTACATTCCCGTTTCGAGCGTACGCAGTCCACCTTTGTGATCACTTCGGCCAAACATTCGCCTAATTGGTCCCACAACGCACCGCAGCACTCCTCATTCATCTGCACATGTGAACCACCAATGTCCATGCAACGGGCCTAAAAACAACTCGAGTATGTTTAGAGTTTGAACGTAACTATCATGACAATTTTTGAATAATAAAGAATCCCAAAAATTTCACATAGCGAAATACAGTGTCACCGACAAAAACGATACAAGCCATCATAAAAGTCACTTCTAGCAGACTTAAAAAAAAACTGGGCAACACGAAGGCTCTTTCTATTTTCGCTTTTCAAGGTCGCACAAGAGATTGTAAATTATTTGACAAGAAAGAGACTCAACATTTTGATATAGAAGACTATTCTTTGCTAACTTCAAAGGAAAACCCCAAGAACCGGTAAATTCTATTCGTCTTCGTCGCACAACATTGTTGTTCAGCGGACCCTGATTACTCATGGGTCTTGAAAAGTGTTATAGCTTTAGCATGGTTTCTTTTTTCTTACCGTTTTGATACATTCCAACGGTTTACAGCCTCATCGTGGCTGGGAAGTGTTTGATGTTGGACTGTGATGTGCAGTGGGGGATCCATTCCCTGACAGGATCTCCCAAGCTGAGAAGGAGTCCGGCGTTTAGATCAGGAAGCCTAGCTAAGAATTAACCAATACCAGGATCCACCATCGTCCTGATATCAAAGTCGTATGGTGGCAAATCTTCCTGCGAACCACAAAGTTTGCGATTGGCTCTGATGGTGAAGACCTGGGCAGAATTTGGCCATGCTGACCTCGGGATTTCAGGTAACCACAACGGCTTAACCAGCAAATCTCCGAAAAGTAGAAATTATGCCGCATAACCAGTGAGGACGGGCCATTCAAGTATCAAGTAAATATCAAGTTTTGGATAAGATAGTACGCCGAAGTAAACCCAACTGGTTCTGGTAGTTTTTCTTCTTTAACCTTCTAGATAGAAATGTTGAATTCTTTTCGATATTGAGTCGCTCTTCCAGAGAAATAAACTCACGATTTATGTCATTCAACACAGGTATATCTCTCCCAGCTTCAACGAAAGAGTAAACCACTGGAAAGGAGTTACTTTCTATATCAGGGTTTCCATATCCAAGTCTGAGGTTCACGATGCCAAAAAGAAACAAAGCATGGGTAGTACGCAGGTTATATTTCACTTGTTGGAAATATTTTAGAAGGTATTGCTCGGAAATGGCGCTTTAAAAATTCAATAAAACAGAGTACTTCCAACAACTAATGTACCTGAACAATTTTTGATGCCTGACGCAAATCGGAGACGATCGAATCGAAAAGATCACAAATTATCTAAAAAAGAGATGGTTACAATGATAGACACAATCGGATGAAAATACAGCAGATCATTTTTTGCTTATTTTCATATACTACGGCGATGTCATGTATTGTAAAAAAAACCGTCTCCAGGCGATTTCGAATTGCCTAACTGACGCTCTTATTTCGGTACCAAGCACCCTCTATCTTTTCCCATAACATCACTAACTCTCGAGTAGGATTTACCTGGGTTTTTAACTTTTTTTCGCTCGCATTTTAATCATAACCTTTAGCGGTTGCCTGCCCTGCTCACTTCGGCCTATACCATTTTTCTTCTTTGGCTTCTTCCATCCATTTTTGGTCCAAATTTTTCACTTAACTCCTTCTTTCTGCGTCTCCCATTAATACATTGCCTTTGTCTTAGTCTTTACCCTGATTTTTTCCTAAAGTACTTTCCTCACCATCACATTCACTATCTCATATACTATAAATTTAATTTGATCGACTTATCATTCCTTCCCATCTCATTCTTTCCAGCCATGAAATCTCTACATAACTTACAAACTTCGTAAACTCTGCTAAAGAACTGAAACAGACTATACTTAGAAAATTATAACAAAATTTTAATAAAAAAAATAAAGAAAGCAAAAAAAAGAAAGGAGAGAGATGTGAAATAAAATTACCATAACGCTGAGATATTTGCAAAACTTGGACCACATGCCGGATCGAGCGGCGATTGCCCTTCTTTTTAAGACGAATGCCTCACTATCACACGTGACCTGGCGCCCTATTTCAAAATGATATTTTGACCCCGGGGCGTGTCTTGCTCGCGACTCCACGTGAACTACGTGTGGGCCAGTCCCGCACGTAACATCACGGTGAGTGGCCTTTCTGTTCAATATGGCGTCTATTTGAAAGTTTGATCTTCATTAATACTTTAACCTTCTTTTCCACCGAATAATAAAAAGTATTCTAACATAAAGTACGTCCAGGCTCTGAGGAAGGCGAAGTCGCCGAAACGTCAGCCATCGATCAATAACATCAAAAACAACGACAACGACAACGAAGATCTGTACCAACCTCGCGTCAGCTTAAGAAGATCAGTTTATAAGATTGCCCTTCTATTAATCTCATCACTGTTCAGTAAAGCTTCTCAAGCAGAAAAGAGGTTGTTGAGAGCAAAACTTATTCAATAGTAGCGTATGGTTTGGCGGATTCGCTTTTTTCAGGATCTCTTTGTTTCCTACAATTCTTTCAGTTATTGTTGCATAGCAGCCGTAGAGTCTTACATGGATACAGCTCACTAATGTTGTGGTGTTCACAACTTTACATGAATACCAAATATTTGGGAATATTAGTCCTTATAGCTTCCAAACGGGTCTTCTGTGTGTGAGTCACTGAGTCGAATCTTTTGGGGCACTGGGTTATAACTTTTATGATTGTAGTAATAATAATGACAGCAAAATAACAGCGAAGCGAAATATACCAGGCAGATCGGAAAGGCACTGGTTGGACGAATTGAACGAATTGAACGGACTGAACGAAGTGAACGACCTAACTAACTGGACGAACTGAGAAAGCTAGCTGATGGGCTGCTTATATTCGTACAATGGTGGGCGAGTGAAGCTAGATTGGATAAAGATATAATTTGCTAACAAGAGGTGTTGGAAAGTTTCTCAAACAGTACAACCTACCTGATTGATCCTCTGAGGTACAGATGCTGATGCAACATGCACACGTAATACTTTACTTGCGAGCGTTTATCATGAGATAACAGCGTAACAAATGTTTTTACATATGGCTTATCAGATCTTCATGGGAAGGTTTACAGAAGACATTACCATTAGGAGATGACTAAGCGATCTGATGCAGTTTGGATGTATAGAGAATATTCCATTTCTATGAAGAATGTTCTCTGTATCAATACCTTTCTCTAGAAATCTGGCTGATAACTAAGAACTAGCAATGAAAGCATGTAATTAGTACCCTTCATCATTTTATAGAGGAAAATTAGCAAGAGCACAAAACTCTCAACGCCCTTAACATTGTCGAAGACAACCAAAACAGGGAGCATAAACACATAAAATAACGGAGAATATATCTACAAAAATTTGGAGACATCATCTCAAAAATAACTGTTGTATTAAATAATTGTACTGAAGGTGGTAATGTTCAGAAAGGCCCATAGCAACTTCGCAGTTGCTGCTACTAACTATTGCGGTTCTCGGTTTATTTTTGCTTATTTATCTGACTTTTTCTATTGAGCCCATCTTTCCTTCTTTCTTTCTCATTATCTTTATTTCTTAATTCACCTCTCCCTTCACTCCTTCTATTTTCCGGTTTCATAACCACCGCACCACAAACGGGTGTGATTCGACGATGTGCACGCGCATTTCCTTTCGCCACGTCTGTTTTCCTTCTCCTGTTAGTTGTTGAAATTTCCTAGCTTAATTTCATAGCCTCATCCTTGAAAGTAGACGAATTCAACAATGATATCATTCTCGAAACCACGTCTTTCATATCGTCAGCGAATTGCCTACGCGCTCTGCCCCCGGGGACGTTGGGGGAATGAATCTCAAGAAGCCATACCGATCGCGCGGTTACCAATCGGTGTGATATCAACGAACCTTGGCGTGCATATTCAAATCACAGCATTGATTTGTTCGAAATCCTTCAACGATAGACATTTTCTGGAACATTTCGCGACTCAGTGCCGACTTGAAACACAGCAATCTAAACAGTCCCAATAAGCGCTACGAAATAGTGATTCTGATTAGTAAAATCCGTCATAATATTGAACACTATCGCCGTTTTACAAAAAAAAAGCGTTAAAAAGGCTAAGGTTTTATATAATCCCAATGATGTCGACAAATTTGCAGAACTCCGGCTAGCAGGTGTCTGCGGTGACGATTGAGCCCGTTATTAGATTTTCCGGTCGCAATCGCGTTCACCACCACACCATGCGGGTCCTTCGTTTCGCATTTCTCTTAGTTATTTTTCTAACTAACAGTGCCATCAGCAATCACCCATCAAAGGAATTGATCTTTGAAGCATAAATTAGCATTGAACCCAGATATTATATTCCTAAGTATTATATTCCCTTCAGTCTTTCCCATCTGAAAATACGAAAACGTGCTGCAGCTCACTAAAGAGATTTTGAAACGGATATTTTCCAAAAGACATTATAGATCACCGTTCGCCGTAATCTTCCATAGGTTTTCCTTTCGAAACCATTCCTTAACGAGAAAATAAGACTAAAAATCCAGATCTGATCTCTATATTAACATCATTCCTGAACGGATATTCGAAAAAAAATCTGATTTGACTAGAATTCAAATTCTCAAGGATTAGCCTCGATAGACTCACGTCTTCATACTTTATTTATACCTTTATGAAAGTCTTATCAAAATCTAATCCCTGTTCGAAAGATGTTCCTTTTTCTCTTGAACACTAAAAATATCTACTAAATCAATTCTTTTCTGGATGGATTCTGTAAGGCAGAACAGAACTCTGGCCAGTTTTACCTCACAAGTGAATCCCCCAGGAGATTTTAGAATTAGTCGAATACCTTTGCAAACGCATGCTTATCGAAAATTTCTATGAATTTACATTTTGTCAAAATCGAACAAAAATTGCACACATAAGGAGAAATGTGAACGAAGCCACAAAGTGAAACAACTTGAAAGGAAAGACAGGAAAGTACTTGAAAACTTGTGTGAATGTCGCAGTGGATTTGAATTTGGTCCACGTGAACTGTAATAGATGTATCTGATACCTGAAAATAACAGTAATTTAATGATAGAGGAAAGGTGACTTTTAATTCGCCGACAGAGTTTTCGTGACAGGTAACCAGTACTGGAGGGCATCATTTGCTACTAGTATTTTATCTTTTCGAGGAACAGATGACAAACTGAGTTGGTTCGTCACCTCCACCCTTCCTCATCTCCACATCTTATCTTCCCCTAGTAGCCCAAAATTTCACAGGGACGACTTCAAAGCGCCCAATTTGTGCACAGTTTCGCAAAAGGTGGTTGTTAGTAACTATAATCAATATGGAAATGATAGCAAGTCTTTGATTTCATATTTCGAAGTGATCGTTAAAAAACTGAGATCACCGTACAACCTTTGACTCTGTCCCCGTTGTTTTCTCAACATTTAAAAATAACGACAATGACATTAAAAGGTGCAAACATTTTAGAAATTTCGCTTTCTAGCTAGAGAGGAATAGAGTAGGAATCTTAAAGTCGTTGGCAAACGGGTACCATCAATGTTGGATACTTTTGTTTAAGTTTTGATACTGAGCACAAACTGCTTTCCATCATCAGAGGGCCGATATTAAACGATTTAATTTATTATTCACAGTTTTTGTAATCGTAGCGAAACAGTTAAGAAATGCAAGAACAACAATGTTTCCGACGTACTGTGTAAATTTCAGCGAATCAGCCAGTGTGGAGCCAGTTTCGCCGCTTTCGATCTGAACAGTGGCTCGACTTAGCCGACGTCCTTGCTGATTACCCATATCAGATGAACAGGACAGACACTTCGATGATGTGAAATACCTGGAAGAATCCTTAAGAAATAAGTAGTGTCCATTTGTTCCTCATAGAAATAATACCCACTACTAAGAGGCTAATAAAATCGGGAGAAGAAGACATGAGAGAATCGTTTCAGATAGGAACTCAAGAAAAACATTAATCAGTCTATTCCAGAATGGCTCCACTAACAGAAAAAGTTGAAAAAAGCACGAAATGATGCAATTCCCCAGTCGCACCAGGATTTTCTTGAAGCCAAAATCATGTAAATAACTTCGCCGAGGCACATACTAAACCTAATCCTTAGCAATGCTGTGTATGAAAATTCCCACGCTAGCAATTTGATAACATATTTGACCCTCTACGAAAAAATCAAACTGTCCAAAATTTTCCAGCTATATGAATAATCGAACCCACGTTCCAAGTGAAATTCGCAATTGTTCATGAAATCTTACGGTAATACTGAATTATTTTGTTCCTCTTGTAATAGTTCCCAGGATCGACTTTCTCTTAACCTCGGCATTGGAATATGAATGTGTCGTTTTCTTGCTCAGCAATCGCGAGGTTTTTAAACAGCATACATTTACTTCCATAAAAACACAATACAATACAACGCTAGCTGACGTTTCGGCAGTATCGCCTTCTTCAGAGCCGCTTTTTCGTGACTTCCAATGAGGAAGTTTAGAACAGCTGATTATAGTCGCATGTGGTTGACGAC